CCAGTTGATTGCTGTGACTATTTGTGCGCACTTGCTGGATATTTCAAATGATGATGAGCTTTGTAAAGCTACCATTTCAGTCTCAAGAGAAAGGATAAGTTTGCACTGTGGTGCTGCTGTCTTCTCTACATTGATATTTGTAATCTAATGGAAACAAAATTTGGGAAAGAATTTGCAAGCCACAGACGTACTTTTTTATTTTACATCTATGCACTGATGGGTTGTTTTTTTTCTTTTTTGAACTGTTGATAGTTAGTAAATCGGTAGTTTGGGGAGGGGTGTTCATTGGTTGTCAAGAAAATGTTTGACAACTGAAACATTTGTCTAAACCACCCCTTTCTTTCTTTCTTTTTAAATTTTTTTTTTGGGGGGGTGACAACATATTGATGTTGACTTTGCACTTTGCTGTTGCAACAAAAGTGGCCAGCATTCAGGATCTTTTGTTCTTTCATTAGATCTAAGGTGTTGCCAATGATTGTAAGTGCCAGTAGTAATTTACCCTAAAGTCTAAAGAATGTTCCTTCATAGCCTGGCTTGTTCCCCTTGAGCCACTGTGACAAATTGCAGAGTTTTTGAATGTTCAGGTACCTGGAGCAGCTGTCTAAGCAAGTATGACTTCAAAGATAACCCTGTCTTTTTGTCAGTAAAACGTGTTCACATTCTTCGGAGTGCTTTGGTGGACAATGAAGAACTTTGGGGATGGGGTAACAAATTCTAGTGTATGTCTGGGAGACTGTCTTGAGTTTTCCCTCTTCCTGCCACTATATATTTTTAACGTGAAGGCCGTAGCCCATATAGATGGCTGAAATTGTTCATGCCCCCAATTTATTTTTGTAAGCTAGTGATTGCCTTTTTCTCTCTGTTCCTGTTGTGTATAGGCAGAGGATTTCGTTGTATGCAAAGGAAACAAGTACACGAAGTTCAGGTTTCACACGAAGTGCTGATTTCACATTGCAGATGAGATAATTTTATTGTTGATGAATCTGAAAGTGGTTGCATAGCCCAGACATGTTGCTCTGCTTTCCCTGTGATCTTCGGGGTGTTGGAGAAACCCGACTCGCCCCATCCCCCCCCGTCCCTGCCTTTTCCAATGTGGCAATGTCTCAGTTCCGTGCTGGCTGTAGCGAGTCTTGACAGCTGAGAAGAATCTATACATTGTTTCATGGTTGCATTGTGTCCCTCGGCACTCACAGAAGGGAGATGTGATGAATAATGAAAGTTAATACAATTTTATAAAACATTTGATCTTGGTGTCATGTCTTGTTTGTTTTGGAGTTTTTTTTCAAAGAATGGTCTATCAGCAGTTACAGCTCATTTATTTTCATCTGTCTGCATTTAAAAAGTCCTAGCACTTTTATTAATTTACCTCTATGTGTATGAAACTTTGCATGGTTCTCCTGTGAGCGACCGACCGACCAAAAATATTTATTTAATAATGTTGATCTAGTTATTTAAAAGTTTCTCTTTTTTAGCCCTGTTATATTAAAAGCCGTCCTTTCGGAGTATCTCTGGATCACTACAACAAATGATTAACAGTAATCTCGCCTTCTACTCACTCGTTTTGAGACAGCGACACCACCTTACCCCTACATTTCAATGTAAGTGTAAGGTTGTAAATTTCCTTCCAAGACTATAAACAGTCCATGCCGGTTTTAAACACGGTCATTGGGAGAAGAAAACTTAAGCATGCTTAATGCCGAAGCGTGTTTGAGTTCAAAGTAGACATAATCCAGAGATTTTCATATATAGAAAATTTCTCTTTGTAAGTAGGCCAATAGCAGTCCCGCAAAAGTGTGCACTGTTATTTTTACCCGCCATGGTAGTTTTTGTTTGCTTTTCAAGTTTGTTTTTGGTTTTTTTGGTCGAATGGAAAATGAAAACTTAATTTGGACGGCCTGTCACGATACAGCACACTAAGCCTACACACTGCCTGTGCGTACCACTGCCCGCTGTGCCCCACCTCGTGCGTGATACACAATCATGATTAATGGATAGCGAGGGTCAAAGATGAAATCGCAGCCAGCCTCCTTTTCTCTTCTCCCCAACTCTCTTTGTATTTTTTTTCATCTGTGTGTAGCTTTGCCCAAGGCTAGATCCTATGTCCGCGGGCGCGACTGTGTCAACTGTGCATCTCTCTGCCTTCCTCTCCGCCAGTGTGAGTGTGTGTCTCCATCACTTGCGTTCTTTTTGTTTCTCTTAATGCACTCCACTATTCCGGTGTAGACTGTTTTCGATCTTCGATGGGTCTTCAGTCATCATGAAAGTATTGACTGTCTTGTAAATGAAGCGTGCCTGAAGCCGAAGTTACCGTGCTTAAAAGTGTGTAATTATAGCAAAAAATCAGTAAGAGCCGTTTAGCAAGCTTGAGTCCGAAACGTGTTTTATGCCAGCGTGTTTAAAGCCGGCACGGACTGTATCTCCACAAGTCTCGGGGAAAGTACTCACCCATCTTTTGTATCCACATTTCATAGGTGTGCAGCATGCGTTATTGTCTGATGTTGATCAGAATGGGTCAACTTTTTTATGTTTCAGGAGTATGCTGTACTGTAAATCCCCTCTTATTATTTTTCGACCCGCTTATAACTTAAATGTCAAAAGAATATATGTGTCGGAACCTTAGTTTGCAGTGACCTTTATTGATGGGGTTTTTTTTAGATTCTGTTGGCCATTCGACTTTCAGACCTGGATGCAAAGACCTGAAAAGATTTTAGATTTGTTTATTTTCTTGCTCCAACCGCGGTAAAGACAAAAGTGAACAAGCTATAGCTGCTCTTATTGTGTCAATGAATTTCTTCCCATTGAAGTTGGAGTCATCTTCCCAGCTCATGGGAATGTCACTAGGCACTTATCTCCAGGTCATAGTCATAATGGGAGATTTTAAAATTCATTACGTTTTTATCAGCACTGAGCACAGGATTTTATTAGAAAATGCTCCGTGAACAGTACAGTTCACATTTAGTGCTCTTCATGTATCCAGAGTGACATGAACTTTACCTGTCTTCTCAAATTTGTTGGAGGGTCGAAACCTAACACTTGTTTCTCACTACATGTACAATGGGCCCCTCATATAAGAGTGTCTTTTCTATACATATACATGTAACCAGATGGTTTATTGTAAATCCTGGGACCAATCTCTTAAAATGTACTTTAAGAAAGTTCTTTTATGGTATAGCAGTCATTCGGACAGACAAGCTCAGCTATACAAATGGACAAGAAAGCAGAAAGAGCAAATATTGGAGCAAAACCAAATCCCACATAGCAGATTTCGCCTACAGTGTATGCCTAAACTAATTGTGTACTCATTTTATTATATATGTCATTGTACCCTGTGTGCAGGGGAGGGAGGGGGAAGAAAGATTTTGGTGAATGCAAATCTAGTCAATGAATTAACTTTACTTTGGTCTTGTCTCTTCATGGGAGAATAAATGAATGATGATTAGTTGTAGGCACTGGACGCTAGATCTACTGCAGATCTATGTTGTGTTCCTTTTCCCAACCGAAATACTGTACTGTAACAACTGTATAAAATATACAATTAGCTGTAAAGCGGTAGAGCATGCTGTGGACTGCAGAGCACGGATATGTGCTCCAATGCAATTACTATTATTACCTATGCACCTCTAATTGTCTTGTCAAATCTCCCTCCGTGAGACTTATGAGGTAGTACACATTCAGTTTAAAACAGACGTCCATCAATTTTGTGATACAAAAATGGACAAGAAAATTACGTGTTGCAATCTTGGTAAAAAAAATATTATTTTTTGTGATCTCCAAAATTAAAGAAAAAGTTACTCACAAGTCATTTTGTTAATTTTGATATGCTAATTTCAACAAAGTTGATATTATTTTTATGATTGCGTGTAGTTTTCAAGAGATTTTGTAAACAAAGCTTTTATCATGGAGGCGGACTGCTGGCATAGGGGACCAGCAAGACACACAAATAGGCCTATAAGGCTGGCCCGTTCACTTTCACGTGTCCAGTCTCTTGCAATTTTCTCAAAAACTGACTTTCATATTACCCTGCTTTTTTGCAGTCAGTCTTAATTGTCTAAACATATATTTTGACTGACTTGACATTTCATGTCTTTTTATCTCTCCTCTTTGAAAGATGTATTCAAAGCAGCAAACTCCTTTTATCTTTTTGGAATCACAAGAATCCTGACATGAAAATGAAAATTCAGTTTTACCTAATAATGACGGCATTTAGACGTTGCCATTGTTTTAATTTTAAACACAATGTGTGAGTGTGTTGGGGGGGGGTGGGGTGAGTATGGAAAAAGCATGCAGCACAGAGAAAATTTGAGGTCTATTGTGATATCATCATTATTTTTAATGATAGGACCTTGATGTGTAAATCATTTACTTTTATGTACAAGTAGCCTACTAATTCAAGCAGGGTGGGTTTTAAAAAAATAATAAATGAAGGAAATAGGTAACGGCTTCAATTTTCTCAGAGCAAAAAATATTCCAGATGGTCAGTAGCATTTCAAACACATGTGTTCAAATTCCCAGTGCTGAGGCACAGTATTACAATGCAACAAGTGCATGATTGCATACGTGGCGAGCCAGTCATGCGATGCAGTCAGTTGAGTCAGTATCACTCCCCACCTCCCCTTCCCCGTTCCCCCCTTCTTCCAGCCTCTGGTGGTGAGACCACGTTTTAGTTGTAACAATTACATGTATATATATAATTATATAACAAAAAGCTACCCGCGGCCTGGAAGGCGGTAAAGCCAGGTCTTTAGTTGAGAATGTGAAGTGGATTTGTTCAAGATTTGAGTGTTGCGGGTTCTGAATGTTCTGGAACTCCATGAAGTCAATACCAGTACAAAGAAAACATAGGGACTGAAACAGGACCAAGCATAATGTTTGAGATACCCGAGAATTCGAGATT